CCTCCTCCTTTCTCATCCGGGCTTGGGACCGGCAATGGCGGAGTTGTTGTTGTTGTTGTTGTTGTTGTTGTTGTTGTTGTTATTTACTTTATTTATTAAACATGAAATTCAGCTAACAGAACATTCAAAAATGCATTACAAATACCAGTGACTGATGCTAATCATTGATACGGTTTGCTCCCAGCGTCCTAGGTATCAACCAAGTACTTTCTTAAAATATAAGATGTTACGAGTAGCACAGTTGTTTGCAGTTCCGCTGGTGTTATTGCATGAAGCTGCAATTTGTTGATGTATCTTGTAAAATTCTTGGACATGGTGCCAAGTGCCCCAATGACAATGGGTATCACTGTTACATGCTTCATAGTAATATTTGAGGATTTGTCTATTTTCTTCGGTTGTCCAAGTTTTGCACTTTGGTTCCATTTGCTTTGCAGTTGCACGCCCTGGTTCCTAGCAATAACAACTGAACCCTGTAGCCCCTTTTTCGATAGATGTCCTGGAGCCATAGCATCTGACATGGTCCTTGTTGACTCTGACAATGACCAATCCAAAGTGGAATTTTGTTGGTTTCTCCTCATCATTAGTGATGGTAGGTGCCTGGTTGGTTCTCAGTGCTAAGTCACTACTTGTTCAAGGACGATAATATCATAACTGTAAGAACCGCACCAGATAACTGTCCAGGCCCAGCCACGGCAGGAAAGAGGCCTACCTTTATTATTATTATTATTATATTTTTCTCATGTGTAAATTTTATTTTCTGTTAAACTATTCAGTGGAAATATTCTGCTGAGAAGATGAAGAATTTAAAAGAAAAATTAAAAGATTATAAGGAAACTTTAGGACATCATTTTGCAACACTGTGTGAACAATTTCAACCCTTAGAGAAACTGTAAATGTTTAGTTTTTTGAATTCTCTCCCTACCTACACACAGAAAGATGCAAAAACAGCAAAATACTAGCTACAAGCAGTTGTGTCTGCATGTTCAAACCCATAAAATAGAGCCAAAATATGATAGTCAGAATTGCTGTCTGGCATCTTATTCTGAAGTGCAAGCAAAAGTCAGGTGTTTTTTTTTGATAGCTCATACTTGAAATATGCCTGAGAGATGACCATGCAGTAGATAATATAAGGTATTGAATCAGCATTGATTGCGGGGGGGATCCTCCTGTTAAATGCAGTGTCACACATACACTAGAACAGTGTTTCTAAAGCTCAGCTCTTTTACGATGTGTGGACTACAAATCCCAGAATTTCCCAACCAGCTAACTGCTTGCTGATGAATTCTGGGAATTGAAGTCCACACATCTTAATGCTCTAAGGTTGAGAAACAATGCACTGGAGTGCTGTGCAGTCATCTGACCACCTCAATGACTACTTATAGCAGGGGTTAGCAACCTGCAAGTCTGGAGCCGCATGTGGCTCTTTCATCCCTCTGCTGCGGCTCCCTGTCGCCAGTTGACATCATAATTTTGAGAGGCGCTTCCTGTTAGGGTGGGAAGCAGGAGGAGACTCTATGGCAAGGGATGGATTTTCTGGTCAGCTCCACAATTGATAGGGCTTTCGGTTAGGACAGGTAGAGGAAAAAGGATGCTAGAAGGAAACTCTATGGTGGAAGAATCGGACTTCCGGTCAGCTCCAGAATTGAACCGGGGGGGGGGGGCTTCCGGTTAGGACCTTTGTGGAGTGTTTAAAGTTGCTGACCCCTAACCTATAGAATGACATTCATGAAAGTTCACTGCCTTCCTAACTTTTGTAAGAACATTGAATGCCTATAAAAGAAGTTGATATTTTATGTATCAGGTACTCCTACAATAAAACAGCTTAACCATGATTCATTGAATTGTCAACAAAATTGACTGAGTTTACAAAATACACTAAGTTCTAAACCACATTTTATAAATGATATGGTTTTTCTCAACCTAATCAACCATAACCAAATCATATTATGCTTGAATGAAGTGCAATTACAAAGCTGCATCCATCCCAATTTCTTGGACAAATATTAACATTCTAATTAGTGAGGTATGGCTGACTATATAGAACATGTTTACCAATCTGTACCAATTCTTCCAGGCACATCTCTGTGTGGAATTTTTCCATGAACATTTTCATTCTACTAGGTCTACAAGTGAAGGGGAATCAGAGCTATGCTTTCCTGTTGCCTGCTAATTTGCCTTCTTTTTCTTTAACCTCTAATCCAAAATAATTGCACTGATGTTTTAGCTACAGAATGCCTTTTCTCTTGCATTTTACCCCTTTTTTCAATAATTTGCTTTCTAACTATATTCATTCTGCATATTGGTATGTCAAGCTATCTTACTTCCATCCTTTACTTCTCTGCTTTTATTTTGCCTTTTCAGCAGAAAGATCAAGCTAAGACTAATCTTACTCCAACCTTTTCAGTTCAGGTCAGTATCTTAGACAATCATAACAGTGAGACAAACTTCTTTGTTTGATTTTAGCAACACCAGCCTTTATTCCAGATCAAAATAGTTCTCTGTTATATAAAACATCTGAACAAAGTTTGGGCTAATTTCTTGGGAAGAATAACAGGTGGACTGTCAGTTATTTTCTGTACCTGGCATTTAAGCCAATACATCCGTGGAACCATGGAATGCCTGGCAATACTACCCACTGAGCAATACCCACGCCAGAAGAGTATGCAGACTAATATATTGGACTAGATTTTCAGGATGCTTAGTTGCAAAGTCTAGTTAGTATGTGGTCTGCAAAGCTGACTACTTTGCCTCTGAAAATATAGCCACAGTTGCCAGCAAAATAAAATTAAAAATCTCTAGGCCAAGGTCACTAAATCCTAAAATCCAACACTGCCCATGTATGTAGACTGCTTACATTCATTCGGGAAATGAATATTGTTCAAAGGTACAAATTTGGGGGTACAGCAAAATGGGTTGCAAGCAGTATTTATGGCCATGGAAACAGATGGCATGGGAAAATCAAAATAAGTACTTAAGAAGAAAGCAAATAAAGAGTACAAAGCAGAGCAGGGTGATGAGCTGGCAAAACATGCTCAAAAATAAAACTTAACATAAAATTTAGAAGATGGACAAGGGGAAGATGGACAAGGGGAAGAAAACCATGGTCAATGGAAATGGGATGCCACTTGTCCGATATCATTATCTGTATACTAAGGTGATACATTATCTTATCAAGTCCCAAAGGTGCTTTTTTCAAGAGGCAACTGGACTTTCTGGTTTTTCTTTGAAGACGTTTTGCTTCTCATCCAAGAAGTTTTTTCAGTTGTATAATCAAGAGCTGAAGAAGCTTCTTGAATAAGAAGTGAAATGTCTTCAAATAAAAAAAAGAAAGTCTAGTTGCCTCTTGAAAAAAGCATCTTTGGGACCACCATGATCGGGATGTCTGAGAATTTCCATAGTTATCTTATTAAGTGTCTTCTGTTTGCATGTTAGTGGCATTTTGCATTGTTAAAAATATTCTTTTTTATGTTTCTTTTTTTTCCCTAGTCATGCTGGCCAGGACATAGGCGAATTAACGGCACTATCATTGGTGGAATTTGTAGGCCGTGCACTTGTTTTGGTCATGCAGAGTCCTGTGATGATATCACTGGAGAGTGCCTGGTAAGTGCTGCTTGACAGCTCAGGATAATATTGCAATTGAATTAACTACCTGACAGATGCTGACTTTAAAAAAAGTAAAGGCTTCCCCTGTTCAGTTATGCCCAACTCTAGGGGTCAATGCTCATCTCTCTTTCCTAGCTAAGGGAGCCAGCATTGTCTGGAAATGCTTCCATGGCCATATGATCTGCATCACTGTATGCCGAGGCGCAAGGAACACTTACTTTCACACTGAAGTGGTACCTATTTATCTACTTGCATTTGCATGCTTTTGAACTGTTTGTCAGGAACTGGAGCAAGAACAGGAGCTCACCCCATTATGCGGTACTTGGGTCTAGAACTGACAACCTCCCTGTGGCAGCCCAGGATCTTAACCACTAGGCCATCACACCCCTGTTAGACATACTAACTACTTAAAGGGAAAAAATAGCTGTGATTTGATAGGCAGGATCTTTATTAATGGGCTGCTTCTGAAGTTAAAGAATCTCTTGGTAGTATGAAAAAATAGCTCATGAGCATAAGGGTGAGCAAGAAAACTTTTGATATTTATCTCACAGCAATAGGCCTTATCCAAAATAGCAAAGAGAAAAGCTTCTGGTCAGGCATGAAATCCTCTTATCTTCATTACTGGTTCAGAACCGGGAGCGCACATGCAGAGCATCCGTGATGACAACTGGGAGGTGGGCGGAGCCACCCACCACCGCCACTACTGGTTCTCCTGAACTGGTGCAAACCAGCAGAATACCACCTTTGCTTCTGGTGTACTGTACAATGTTCTAATTTCTGTTGTGAGATTTATTTAACATATAGAACAGTGTAGGAAATTATTAGTGACTGCTATTGTAATACATCATGCAGGTATAATTGTAATTCTCAGTAAATATAAAAATTCTTACAAAAGAAAATGATTGCAAAGGAAACATAGCTTAGGCTACATAGAAAGGTGCCTTTTCTTGATTGAATGCATAAATCTTACTGCTGCCTACTAATCTGGAATTAAATGCATTTATGAATCAGAATAATAATACTTAGAGTGCCAGTGTTTCCAGCCTGCTCTCTAGCTTATTTTGACTGTGTAAATTACGCTGAATAGACTGCTTTGATTAACTCAAGGGCATTTTAGTTTTATATTGTCTGACATGGCATGAAGCTTGAAACAACATTTCTCATTTCATTAGTCCTGCAGAAATTCAATTTGAGCCACTGCCAGTTGAATGGGATATCATATTCCAGATTCCCTCTAGTATTTGAACTAACTCGGCATTGTTCTTCTCAAGGAAAAGTTTCAAGGAAAAAGCTAAATAAAAATGCAGTGGGTTTACAATACAGGCTGGTATTTGAAATACCATTGTCCTTCCTGTTTTGTCTCTGTATGAAATGTCTACATATTCTGCAGTTTAAACTATTTTAAACTGCTGGGTTTTTGAAAATGTACCTTTATGAAAAAATACCTTAAATAATTCACCTATTAATTTTATATTTGATATAAAAATATGTACAGGGCAAACTATAAACTATTAAAATGATTTTTAAACTCTTAAATTACCCTAGCAATTCATTAGTGTAATGTAACCAATATTATTTTTTCTAAATTGCGGTTTGGCTTTGGACAGAGGTAAAATATGCAAGGCTAAAATACCTGGAATCTTGCTCTCCCAAATGGAGTACAACCCAAAACTTTTGTTTTCAGTTGCTTGTGTGTTGGTGGGAGAATAGAACTGTTTATTTGGCCAGTGTTTAATTTTATAATTAGTTTTCTGTACTAATGCCAATAAATAAATTTAATGTGGGACGACCAGGTAGGAAAAGCCTGGAACTAGGAAATTCAATTCAGCACTATATCTGTCTGGAGTGTCATATTTATCTGCAGTTTTACAATGCTTCTCAGTCCTCTTTTCTGTAGTGTTCAAACACAACCTGTATCAGAGAAAATCATACACTGTCTAAACCTTGAAAAAGTATTTCTGTTGGCTGTAAGTTAAGTAGGATTGGTTGGTGCCCAGACAGGCAATTCAATTTGATCATAAGACTTTTGAAGTGAAATAAGGAAGACTGAGAAAGGTAAAAAGACACACCACATCAAAGCGATTTTTTTCTCCCTAACTAAGTCATATTGCGTCTTTTGGACTTCTCATTACTATTCATCATGTTTTTCAATAATACAACGGATAATTTAAGCAGCTAATTTACTGATACCTCTTTTGAATCTTCCTTAGCTTTGAAATACAGTTAAAAAGAAACTGAAATATGTTTCTCTGACAGTTTTATTCATAATAAGATCTCAGATCAAGACAAAGTCTGTAGGAAAAAGCCTACCTCTCATATGCATGTTGGAATAACTTGCAAGGTCTTTGATCCCAACAGACTGTTGCATACTGCAGAACTATACATTCATGGTGTGATTGTAATGTACATCATGACTTCTTCCATAGCTAGCACAAGCTATAAGCTGCTTGGTTACATTACACTATAGGCACGTTCTCCTTGCGCATGCAAAGCCATTCATGGACCTTAGTTCTTGTAAAGTCTTTTTGTTTTCATGTTGTGTGTTTGTTTTAATTCACTTCTGACTACACTAGTAGGCTGCTGTTCCTTCCTAAACCTCAGAGCAGCTAACAATGTCAATTTAAGATCACCCACAAATATATAAAAAGTAATAGAAAAAATGCAAGCCAAAAGATAGAAATGCCATGTACCCACCAAACCACTTTCCTTTTTTGACACACTCCGCTGTTCAAAATGGAGCAAAATAGAAGATTATTTTTTCTGGAACCTGAGAGGAATGAAGCTGAACAAATCTCTTCCAGGAAACACCAACTTTTGAGGCCGTAAGAGGTGGCAATCTCATCAGCACAAGATCTTCATGGAATTGACTCTCTTTGATCTGGTTGGACTGGCAGATATATACAGGAGAAGGTCTTCCTTTTGATAATCAGAGCAATGTGGGCTCTTAAACAGTGGTGGGATTCAGCCAGTTCACACCTATTCTGGAGAACCATCTGTTAACTTTCTTAGCAGTTCAGAGAACCGGTGGTTGGAAGAAATCTCATTTTGTTTTCTTCCACTTTTCAGGGCTAATCCTGTAAGGAAGGCAGGAAGGAAACATCCTGGTGTTGTTTCTAGCCTAATCTTTATTGCCCTGCTTCCAGAAACTGCCTCTCCAGTTAACCCTTGTTACATTGTAACAGCTAAGACGAAGTGCCCATCAACGTGAGTGACGTTGAGTTGACCATGCCCACACAGTCTCATGACCACCGAGCCACACCTACCCAGCTGGTCATTAGGGGAGAGAACTGGCTGTTAAATTATTTGAATCCCACCACTGGTCTTAAAGGTATCAACATAGAGCAGCACCCCCCAACATTTTGGGCACCGGGACCAGTTCTGTGGAGAGAGGTATTTCCCCAGACAGGAAGGGCATAGTTTTGTGTGCTGCCTATGTCTTGCAGATGGGGCTTTGCTTGTTTGCACAGCCTGGTTTTTGGCTGAGAACCGGTGTCAACCCATGGACCACGGATTGGGGACCCCTGACATAGAGAGTTGCCATGTTCATATATCTAACTTTTTGTGAGTCAGCAACAGTCCTTGTAATTGTGGCAGGATGCTACTTGCTGGCCAGGCTATGGTTCAGCAATGGTTTAACTGGTCTTTCCCACATTATGGAAGGTTGGACTATATGATTCTTGAAGATCCTTCCAACTCTACAGTTCTATGATTCTATAAATTAGGCTGACATGTTCCTTCTCACTCATTTATCTAGTAGCTGTGGACAACCATTGGTTCTTGCTTTTATCAAATTGACAAAATAAAGTGCTACAATATAAGTTCCACCCCTTTCATAAGTTCCTACAATGTTGTGATATGCATAACATAGGGGTTGTGTCACTGCCCCTTCATTTAATAACCAAGAAAGAAACCACTCAACTCCATGTTTCAGAATTAAGTGTACTTTTACTGGTTACAAACGATGAGAAGCAAAGCAAAGCTGAATCTGAATAAAAGGCGCAAAAGCAATAGATATCAATACATGATTCATTCCCCTCCCCTTGGTACCCCAGTCCATAGTGCAATTATAATTCACCCAACTGTCAGGTGGGAGACATCTTCAAAAATCATCATCAGGATAGAATGCTGGACAGTTGGCCTCGGCGGGAAACTCCCCTCCTTCCACATGCGCAAAGAGATGATGAGAATAACTCCCTAATAAACAGTCCTCCAGTACAGAATGATTCCCTCCCCAAATACCATGCCCCCCCTGTTTCAATGGCAGCCAAAAAGCAGCAGCAAAGCAGAGGCTGACAGGTTGTATTGTTTTTGTTATTATGACCTCTTTGTATTCATCCCCAATAGCAATAGCACTTAGACTTATATACCATTTCATAGTGATTTACAGACCTCTCTAAGCAGTTTACAGACTCAGCATATTGCCCCAAACTATCTGGGTCCTCATTTTACTGAAGGATGGAAGGCTGAGTCAACCTGGAGCTGTTGAGAATCGAACTGCCAAACAGGCAGTCTGATGTCAGCAGAATTAGCTGCAGTACTACATTCTAACCATTGCGGTATCACAGCTCTTGATGGATGCCTGTGCTAGTAAGTTATGTTAGTTTAGTATTATATTAGTATTATGATGGCATCTAGAATTTTTTTTTTACTTTCCTTTATTTCTCCTGAGATAATTTATCAATGTTTCATTTTAAAAATAGGGAGTCATCATTGTTCATTTTAGATTTTGGAGATTCTTGCCTTATCCAAAAGCATACGAAAGGTGTTCATTTATGCCTAACTTCAATCAATGCCATGATTGTTCATTTATGCCTAACTTCAATGCCTAACTTCAATGCCATCTGCTTCCTCTCACAAGCCATCTTAAAACTAAAAATGCAGACCTCGTTTCTTGACATTTTTTCTTCCTATCTCTTGTTTTGCTTAATTTATAGTCTCACCTACTTTTTATCCTCCAGATGCCTTAATAATTAATAATAATTAATCTCTCTAAGCAGGATTGTATATATTAGTAGTTTTTTTAACAGTTTTTGTTTGGTTCTTGCTCTTCTTTTTCTTTTCTTTCCCACCAGTAAATGCAACAGCTGGCATATGAATTGACTAACTGTGGATTTGCATACAGATGCCAGTTTCATTGGAAGTCATGTAATTCTGATGAATTTAATATTTAAAGGATTTAAATTTTGTATTTGTTTTATACTGTTGTTTGTTACCCTGAATGGTAATTAGCATTGCTCCTTCTTGTTTTGATTTGAATTTACAGGTAATTCTCAACTTATGACATCTTTAAATAGTGTAATCATTAAGTTAGGCATACATGGCCTTTTACCCTGTGGCCATTAAGCAAGTCATCACATGATAGCCATTTGCAAACTTCTCTGCTGGCTTATTGACTTTGGTTGCCATAAACCATTTGGAAAGGTCACAAATGATCATGCTGTCTCAGGACATTGCAATCAATGCCATGATTGTTCATTTATGCCTAAATAGCAATCACATGACTGTTGGGATGCACACAACCATGCCATAAGCGTAAGGATCTGTCATGTCACTATTTTCAGTATTGGCATTACTTCAAATATTCGCTGAATAAATGGTTATAAGTTAAGGGCTACCTGTGATGTCTTTAATCAAATATACACCACATCGAATCATTTCAATTAAACTGAAAAGATGAAATAATCAAGCAATCAATGGCAGTATTCTCTTGTTGCCTGCTAATTGTTGCCTGGATTTTTACAGTCTAGATCTGTCACAGCATTATAACAGACATTGAAACACCAGCTACCTTTTCCTGGCAGCTTTATATTACCTTTCACCAACAGCAACCCTCTTATTGTAAACTGACAGATGGTGAGTAAGTCATCTAATGAGCCATATGGTCAAATATGGACTTGAGGCTCCTTAGTTACAGTTCAGAATATGGAACTTTGGAGCCATTGAATAATGAAACAATATAGCTGCCATTTTCTTCTTTTCATATTTCTTAAGTTCAATCATGGAACAGCAGACCTGTTAGATCTATCTTTTGTCTATTTTATCCAGGTTTTTTTTAATGTACTGGTTTGTTCTCCTGATGCAGAGGACCATAAAACAATGGTAGTATTTTTCCTCAAAAGCATGCCTAATAAAAATAAGCAATTTCATACTTGATTTCTTGCTGTGGGTTAGAGCTATAAGAAGGCAGGGGAATCCAGTAATTCGGAGCCATGGTAAGCATGGAATATGCCATAGCCAAAATGAAGGAAGGGATTGAAATCATTTTGGGAGTTGGGTTTCACATATGGGAGACTAGCTTTTTGTGTGAGCTATGTGTTGTCATATCCAAAAATAAATCATCAGATTATCAGAATTTTGAATGTACAAAACAAAAATAGCATATAAATGCTCTTCAATAGTATCTCAATAGTATCTTCAACTGCAAGTAAGAAAACTAAAGGAAGCAAAGACAAATGAAAAGATTTATCTTTCTTCCTAAATCCAATATTTCTTTGGTTTCTTACTTCCTATTTATAATGATATTCTGATAATAATCTATCTTTTAGGTTATGAGCAACCATTAGGAAATGGGTCTTCCCTTCCTTCTTTTCTTCCTCCATTCTTCTATGAAAGGACTCAAGACAGCTTTCATTAATGCAGTCAATGTAATTATAATAATATGAATAATATACCAAATTAAAAATCTATCTCAAGGCAAACCTGTTATTGTTAATATTGAAATACCTTGCAAAATGCAATAGTCTTTAAGTGCCACCTTAAAGGGCAGAAAGTTAGGGGCACCATATACATATATTAGGAGGCAAATGTTACAAAATATCACTTCAGACATTTCAGTGACCTTCAGTATTGTGTACCATGATATCCTTCTGGATGATCTGTGAGGTTTTAGGATTTAAGGGACAGAGTTTCATTGATTCTACTCTTTCTTGAATGACTAGTTCTAATTAAAGAAGTCATGACCAGTGGTGGGATTCAAATAATTTAACAATCGGTTCTCTGCCCTAATGACCAGCTGGGTAGACAGGGCTTGGTGGTCATGTGACCAGTGAGCGTGGCTAACTCAACATCACTCAGGTCATGGGGGCTTCGCCTTAGCTGTTACAATGTGATAAGGGTTAATCAGAGTGGCAGTTTCTGTAAGCAGGGCGATAAACATTAGACTAGAAGCAACACCAGAATGTTTCCTTCCTGCCTTCTTTACAGGATTAGCTTTGTAAAGTGGAAAAAAATAAGATTTCTTCCAACAACCAGTTCTTGAACTGCCTAGAAAGTTAACAACCGGTTCTCCCAAATAGGTGCAAGCTGGTTGAATCCCACCACTGGTCATGACTATACATGCTCCAATACATGGCCTTTAAGGCATGTATTGACCCATTTTTCTTTCTTCAGATCATTTGGGATCTACTCTGAAAGTGTAGTGTTTGACTATTTGAGTTTTGTAAGATTTCTTAGGATAAGCCTATGGTTTCTGTTGAGGACATGAAGGCACATACAGATTCCCATTTCCAGTGCATGGTGATTGAAGACCACAACCTACTTCTTGCTCTAGTCTAGGGAAAAGAAGGACTAAGGGTGACATGATAGCTGTGTTCCAATATTTGAGGGACTGCTACAAAGAAGAAGGGGTCAATCTATTTTCCAAAGCAGCAGAAGACAAGACAAGACAAGAAACAATGGATAGAAATTAATCAAGGAGAAGAACAACCTAGATCTAAGGATACATTTCCTAATAGTGAGAAATGGTTTGTCTTCTGAAGGTGTGGGTGCTCCATCACTGGATGCTTTTAAGAAGAGTCTGGACAGTTGCTTGTCTCAAATGCTGTAGGATCTGCTGCTTGAATAGGTGGTTGGACTAGAAGACTTCCAAGGTCTCTTCCAACTCTGTTATTCTGTTATCTGTTATCAACATTCTGGTATCTGTTAAGTCTCCAGAATCAATTCCTGTCCTGCTATGAGATACAGGAGTTTAGGAAGGGCTATCACTAAGCAATGCAGCAATCAGTAAAATAAGAAAATAAGCCAATACCCTGGTATCTAATCCCTACTGAATGTTGTATATGTGCTATCAATTAGCATAATTATTGAAATATATCCTGAGCAAGGTTGTTCATGAATTATAATTAATTAAGGCAATGAAAAGTATAGTTAACTACTGGGGCAGGTAAAAGGGCGGGATCTAACAGATGTCACTTCAATTTTCTGTCTGGAAGATGATGGTTATAATATTGGGCTAGAGAAACTCAATACAATTAAAGTCAGCCATCTGACTTACAAGGTGATCTTGAGTCATATATTGGTTTTCAGACTATCATGGTTTATAAAGTTGTTACAAGAATGTGAAATAGGCTGGGAATAGGCTATATAAGATGGGATAGTACAAAATTTGAAGTCTTTGATGGAAACAAAGCATCAATTTGAGTCCTAAGGGATTCCATACCATGCTAGGTTACTTTTAAAACCTAGTACTCTATGATGCACTGAAAAAGGATGTTTTGTGTCTTCTTCCTCTGTCTGTTTAGAACTGCAAGCACAACACAGGTGGTCGATATTGTGATAGATGTCTTCCTGGTTTCTATGGAGATGCTACTAAAGGGAAAGCTGATGACTGCCAGCTGTGTACCTGCCCACTGAGTATATCTTCAAACAAGTAAGTTGCAAATTCAGTCAGTAAAAATACTATCAAATTGTTCCTTGAAGTATTCTTTCATCAGTCCATGAGAAAACAAAAAAAGATTAGCATCAATGTACAAGATATCACAAAAATTCACCAGTTCTCTTAGTTCTCAGTAAAGCAATAAATATCAACACAAAGTACCTTTTCATTACAATCACACAATGCTTTATTTTATATTCCATCATTTTCACAATGTTCAGATAAAAGGGAAAAGGAAAACACCATTGTCATAGATCTATTATGATCCCCAAAGTTCAGTTTGGTAGGAAGATCTATTTCTCCTGAGATTTTCTATAGTTCTCAGCAAACGGGGGTTAAACCTATAGAGTTCACTTTGGAATAGGAATAGCTAATTTCTTGGATCTTGTACTCTGGAAAAAGATGACCCTTCTTATGACTCAGCTTTTATATATTTTATTATAATATGTTTTTATAATAAAAGCACATGGTCCAGAAAAAAACCCATAATTTCCTCTTAGAAGACTCAATAATTTGACAGAGGGACAAGCAAAGCTTCCAATTTTTAGATACCATAATATACAAGCTTGAAAAATAATTAAGAAGGAGTTATGCCAGCATATTTTCCCTATTTGTTTAAACAGCCCAACTTTTTGCAGACTGCCATGTAAGCCTGAATAAAGATGCTGCTATTTTAAGATGTTGCCTTATTAAAGTTAATACAATTCTTAAAGCAGCCACCTCTTTTCACCTGCTCAAGAAGCTTGAAAATTGCAGTTTTTTTTTATTGAAAGGCTCTGCTTATACAAGGGTGGAATAATTTCTTTCAGATTCTCAATGTGCACCATAATTAACATGGAGAGTTGCTTAACTTTCAAATTGTCAGGCACTATTCACTATAGACAGTTATATAGTCTTCAGAAATCTGATGTCTATTTGCAGTGCTTTGTGACTTGTTGGTCTGTTACCAACTCTATGTATTCCATGTGGCCATGATAAAGGAAAGAGAAGAACTAGCAGCAGGCAAGCCTCGCATGCACGATGGATTTGACAACAATGGAGATAGGTAGAATTAGACTTTGAAGTATATATGGTACTGGGTATTCTCAACTGTTTATCTCTGAGCCTTATTAATTGTATACTGGGGGTACTTTGAAATTAAAAAAAGGATTTTTAAGACTGTGTCTGCTTTTTACTGTATCAGGAAGCCTAGGTCAGAACACATATGGAAATTAAGTTGGAAAAAATAATGTTCTTTGCCTTGCTGGACTCTCCCTTTAGAATATACAATATCTAAAACATCTGAGGTTATTATACTTGCTATATTTACATAAACAGCACACTTTCTGAGGATCTAATCAGGTCATGCTGGTTGAGTAAGATCAAAATTCACATACCTGGCAAATAAAACAAATGACATGGATTTCAGGAATGCTTTTCTGCTACTTTCCATCTCTGTGCTGTGTTCTTTCCTCACATAAATGGAACTATTTCTCTCCTTTCTCCTACCAGAATCTCTAACAATTATTTTGATAATCAGAATTATCATTAAGGGGGCAGGCAAATGAGCTTATATATGTTGTGGCATTTTGAGGTCCATAAGATTATAATGTCAAAATTTAGTTGCAAATCACCATTTTCAGTTGTGTGATTTTTTCACACATTTTTGTTTTTAAGTATCCTACAATTGGTTCAGGAAGCTTATTCTTTGCAAGCAAGCAAACAATAACCAATTTGTCCAAATAACCAAAAAGAAGAGCTGGGTTGTTTTCTGCTATTCTGCCAGTCCTGATTTAATTCATACAACCCAGGGTGTAGTTGGAATGCCCACAAAAATATTACTTTCTTCGGACTTAAAATACCTTTTTATATCATCCATCTAGGTTATGGTTACTGGAAAATAAGTTCCATTAAATTTAATGATATTTCCTAAATAGATACATGTTTGTTTTCTGCTGCCAATCAGAAACTTTAGATTTCAGCAGAAAACACAATAATTAAAACCGCAGCTTGTATGGTTTCTTTTAATAACGGTTCACCTGTCAATTCATAAGACTTGTTTAAAAATTTCACTTAGGTCTTATAATGTTGCAGGTGTTAATTGTTAGTAGAAGAAAGACTGATGCCATTACTTGCTTATATTTATTGCACTGCTACAATCCCGTTAAACTAAGCTTTATCCTAAGGCTGCAAACCTACTGCTGAGTTGTTTGGAAAATTTAACAACTATGTAGTGCAAACAAATCTCAAAGTGAAATAAAAAGAAGAATAATTGAAGACTGATCTCTTTAAAATACTAGAGTGACAGATACCCTGTTGTTTCAAACTGCTTGTATCTTTCAGTGTGCCAGCAGATTACTTCATTCCAGTGTGTCAATCAGATAGGGGAGGAAAAGAAATATAGAGGAAAAAGAGACTAGAAGGCAGAGCGCCACAGCTAGGGTAAAATGTCTTCAGAGATAATGAACTTATTATATACGTGTAAAAGCAACTTTGCAGCTGCTATAATATTTGAAAAAAAAGGGAGGAAACCATCCAATAAATCAATATAAAGCTCCATTTGTGATATATGCAACTTTTTGAAACTTCAGGCTAGAAGTGGTGAAAAAACTGCTATTTTGTTGAAAATGATTAATGGACTTTGCAATCAGTTTTTGCTACTTGGGGGCAAGTCCCTTTGAATTCAGCGAGATTTGTTTTTGAGGAAATATTTCTAGGATTACCTGATGACAGATTGAAATGATTGGAAATGCCCTCCTGATTGTGAATAGAATTGCTTTATGGATAGTAACTAATTGATTATCGAAGGCACTGTTAGCAGAATGAGAAAGATTGTGATCATTGGCTAGTCCCACATCCTCATTCTTTTCCTGAAGTCTGCTCCAGAGACTTAGAAGACTATTCAAAATAGCACAGAAGGTTGCAGTCAGAAAAACTACATTCTCCCATTCTAAGAACATCTTCTGCCAACAGAAAGTCAACAAGTGGATATTGCCTTGAGGCAAGATGTTAGATGCTAGTTATTTAGTCAGTTGACCTATGCAATTACATGCTGTTAGATAATGTCCCTTAAAAAGCAGCAACTTACTTTCTCTTCAGTGCAGGAGTGTGTTTTATCTGTTTATGTAAACTGGGATTATTGAACATCCCCATCAATTGTCCTTCAGCTGCAGTGAACTTTCTCTTGGGAATCTAATGTTGCCAGGCCCTTAGGGGCTCAGACAAACAGCTGTACATTCCTGCTTTTTTTAAATGGAGTAGAGTCTCATTGATAGACCAAAGGCCCATAACAACATGTCATTTGAATGCTGCCACTAGTTTGAGCTATATCCAGTGTCGGCAGAAATAGCTCCACTGGCTGGAGCCAAACCCTAAGCTCTGTGTGTGAGACCAGACAGACTTTCCTCTTCCTCTGTTTTGAAAGCCGCGCTTTCAGAAAACAACAGTAGTTATGCTGCTAATGAATTTCTTTCTATGCTTTTTCCTTAACCTGGTTCTTGCTCTCCACCACCAACAAAGTTTCAGTCCCACGTGTCATTTGGACCAAACTCATGGATTCATTTGTGATGGATGTCCCCCTGGGTATGCTGGTTTACGCTGTGAAAGGTAAGATAGTTTTGCATGCTTTTTAATATGGGGTGGGGGGATCTAAGAATGTTCCATTATTTTTTTAAAAGCATAATGTCTTTTCATATTAATATACCCATATTTAAAGACCTATGTACAGTAGTGCCCCATAATTGCCATAGAATATCACTGGCATGCAAGAATTCTATTTTAATGAGAAAATTTCTTCAGCTGCTTTATGAGCCAACAAGTATAATTCTCCAGATAAACATGAAATATTACATCAAAAAACATTTTTCTCTCTTCTTTTTTTTATTTTGCTGGGTTTTGAGAATGGTTTAATTGTTGTTATACTGCCTTCCAAATTTGTTTAGAATACTAAGAGTGTATTTAATCAATTATTCAGTGAGTTGCCATTTCATCTCTTCAGAATGAGCCAAATTCAAGTGAGAAAGAGGGTGAGATTTATTTATCTTAATTATTTTTAATTGTGTGTTTTCGAACTTATTAGCTTTGGATTCTTTCAAATGTTTATTCAGTATCTGAAAACAGGATTATTGTTACCATCTCAATGTTTCATAAGTGTTCTCCCACCCACCCGCCGTTTTTTGGATGATAAAAATGAATGACTTCCCAAGTGAGTGAACAAAGACAAATGCAGACATTTGGCAGTCAATGATGAAAACTGTACATCTTCACTTTGTTCTCTTTTTTTGCTCTTTCCTTGAAGTGGGTTGAGTGAAATGTTTTTAAAATTGTGACAATTAAAAGTCAATAAAAGACAGGCGTGATTCAAAGGGGAAACATAAATTGGAGACAGTTTCCCCTTTCTAGTTTTCTGTCCTATATTTTAAAATCCCATATTTTTATTGTGATGCTCCACTGAATAACACTAGCACTTAGACTTATATACTGATTCATAGTGCTTTTACAGCCCTCTCTAAGTGGTTTACAGAGTCAGCATATTGCCCCACAACAATTATTTTACCCACCTCGGAAGGATGGAAGGCTGAGTCAACCTTGAGCCTGGTGAGATTTGATCTGCCAAACTGCTGGTACCCAGTGATCAGCAGAAGTAGTCTGCAGTACTGCACTATAACCACTGTACCACCACAGCTGATTTCTGGTAACTCTGGATGAATGGTCTCCAAGATACTCTGTCTCTCAGCTCATTACGCAATTCTTGCAGGTGTGTTTGGGGGGCTTCCAGCACTCGGTCTCTTCTAGCTCTGCAAGCTGGCCTGGAGACCCAATGGGGGAGAAGAGTACCACATTAGAGGTGGCAACTGGGCTGATGCCAAATCCTTCCTCGCCCCTGCACTCCTGACTTCCCTCCACCCATTTTAAATCACATATTATGATACCTTGATTGTTTATGTCATTGTTTATCTTTATTGTTTTGTTACTTTGATACTATTATGTTTACTCTTCATTTCTGTTTTTATTGTTATAAGCTACCCATGCAGAGGTGGGTTGCTCCCGGAATTCAGGCATGGGGTGCAGAACCGGCAGAGACCCAGGCCTGCCAAGCCCCCGACCCGGTTCCCTCACCGCCGCTGGGCTGTCACCATTTCAGATTTTAATGACTCCGTGTGCATAGTTCACTGTAAATTGTTCTGCACATGTGTGAAGAACAATTTACATTTAATAGTGCATGTGCACGCCTGACGTGCACAGGTTGCGAACCTGTAGTAAAACCAGCAGCAACCCACCCTGTGCTCAGGGTAGTTCTTCAGCAAGGTGGGTGGCAAATAAATTTAACAAATAAAAAATAAATATTCACTTCATGTCTTTTAGCTGCTTCTTCTCCTTTCACCTCTTTACCTAGTACGGTGACATCATATTTTTCATAAATGCATCAGCCCTCTTCAGGGGTGGGATTCTACTAGTTTGGACTGGTTTGGATAAACTGGTAGCTCTGATGATCACCTGGGAGCGAACCAGTTCGCTCCAATGATCAGCTGGGCCCACCTATCTGCCCCCTGCTCTATCCTGTCCTTTATTTCCTGCTTTCTAACGCATCTCAATCACGCAGCACAGCCAGCTGTTTTACTTAGCGTTGCTGACTTGGAAGGTAAGCAGCTAAGCTTCTAAATGCTCCATTTTCAGTGCTGCATGTGCACAAAACACACATGCACACAAAGCACATGCTCAAGGAACTGGTTGTTAAACCGGCAACATCCCACCACTGACCCTCTTGATGTTTCCCTAGTTTTAGTTAAGTTTTAGTTACTTGCTTCCTGTGAACATTCTGTCTTAATGTATTTTAGTACTGAAGGTTGGTTTTCTCGGCTTCCCAAAGAATGTGAAGCAGCTTTCTCTAGCACCGTGTATGAAAGGAGCCAATCTTCTTCCTCTTGCTCTCATGCAGAGTTCATCCATATATCTGTATTTTATAACAGGAATATCATTCAATTTCCCAGACTAATCTTTGTTTGATTGAAATGTCTCAATCTTTCAAGGATTTGTCTAGGCCCTTCAATACTTTTTTGACCATTGTTATTCTTTTTTCAATCTTCTTTACATATTCTTCCTCTTCATTAATTGTGGAGCCTAGATAATTATAACTGACAACTACTTCTATCATTTTTTTCTGTTGATGTAATGTTCCTGTTGATGTAATTTTAGTTTTCTTCATGTTCAGTGAAAGCCCTATCTTTAATCTCTTGTTTTACTTCTGGTATGCTTGTTCTTAGGTCTTCTTTAGTTTCTGCAGCCAACATAGTATCTACATATCTCTTATTACACCAATTTCAATCCCACACTTTAGTTTTTCCATCCTTGAAATTTATATAATGTATGCAGATGTATAGATGTATAGGTATGGTGATAGAATACAGTCTTCTTTTTGATGGTAAATCTTTTCTGATGGTAAATCTTTTTACGTTAGTAAATATAGCTTCCTAATTATTGTAGCAATTTCATATCTGAAGAATCAAAGGCTGGAATATGGCTTTGTTTTGAAAGGCTTACTAAATCTTGAATTTTTAATACAATCAAAACCTTTAAATTAGCCTGTCAAACTGAAGTAATGTTCTTTTTAATACTCTGTTACTATTTCAACTAACCATCTAATATTAGCTATAAGTTCTCATGTTTCCCTGTTATTTCTGACACCTGCTTCTCTCTCCATATAGGGCTTTAAACTCTTTTGCAGAATCTCCAACAGAATCTTGCTAGCATGTGCTATTAGGACTATAGTCTTATAATTGTGATATATTCCTATATGTCTAATTACTTTAGGGATGGGATGTAACATGGATCTTTTCTATTTTGAGCCATATTTCTTTTTTTTCCCCCACACTTGTTGACAAAGAACTATAATGATCTTTATCATTTCTCCATTAACCTACTTAAAGAGCTACCTATATGCCATTTATTTTTTAAAAACTATGCTGTCCCACAGAGTTCACCATATTCTGCTGACACTACTTCTCATGTTCTGTAACTGCTTATTGGTCAAGGATATTTCACTTATATTAAGATTAACCTTCATACCTGCAAATCATTCCATTATCACGGCACTCCCTAGTTTCTCAAGCAAAGGCATAGAGAAAGTCCCATATAATTAACTTAAAACTTTATTCCCGTTAGCATTTTTGCTCAACCTTGTTTCTTCAAGCTTGTTTTTTTCTTGAATTAACTCTTTTAAATAAATATTGTTTTGGTTCATTAATTTTCAGATTTCTACAGAATCTATTCTTTGCTGCAAATTATTGAAGTTCTGAATAAAAAAGCATAGCTTTATAAACATACATACTTACATATATTTTATTGTGTTACATCATAAGTATAACATCACAAACTTACGTTGTGACGTTCGAACATATCATCAATATCAACATATCATCAATATGTTGGTGATGCTTTATGCATCAACATATTCAATAGCCATTACTCATCTTGCCCTACTCTTTCCTCAGTGCTGTCGAAACATTGCCAAGCATTTGATTCATTCTCATAATATTTTATTTACATCATATATCATTCTAATTACACTAGCCAACTGACTTCCAGAAAAATGTTCCATAATTCAAACCTGTTCACTTTATCATATACTTTCTCTAAATCGACAAGCATAAAATAATCTGCACAACCCCTGCCTGGCTAAAGGTCCTCTTTTCAAGTTTTGTCAATGTCTTCTCATTGCATTCTCTCATCAATGTCTTATCTCATTCTTTTTATTAAAATTATGCCAAAAACTTGCTAAGCATATTTAGCAAACCAATTTCCCTGTCAATCTGCATTCTTTCTTCCTACCTTTTCTTTTGTATATCAGAACAATGACAGGTTCTTGTGAATGTCAGATAGAGATGCATGCATCAAAGATTAAACATGTTGTGCAACCACTTCTTAAGCAAACCACATTGATATTTTAAGTGTTATACCATCTATGCCTGCAACATTACTGTTTTCCAAGATCATCACAGCATTTATGACTTCGAGGGCATCATTTTTTTTTGTTGACATTAACATTTGTAAATCTTGTTTCAGGACTCAACATATTGTCATCATTCTCATGCATATTTTTTAAAAAAATACTCCTTCCAGCATTGTGTCATTTCAATTTCATCCTAAATCCTTTCTTCACATTTATTTTCAATTCTCTTCGCTTTAGTAAAAGCTTCTTGTTTGGACCTCTAGTCTTATTTATTCCAAATAATTTTATATTTCTAACAAAATTGTTTTACATCTTCTCTCTTTTAATTGTTCTCTGCTATAGTTCTTTGCAACTATCTTTTTATCCGTATATACATCATGCACCATTTTTCTCTTATGTGCATTTTTTTCTCATCCAAACTCTTTTTCATTCTGCCCCGTATTCTTTTTCATAGTTCTCATCACTGTAATTCCACAGTTTCTATAAGAGTGGTTTATAAGGAGAAAGATCAGGACATGCATAGAATCTCTACAAATATTAAAATGGTAAAGCACTATTTTTAAGAACATAAAAATGGATCTACTAGGACAGTGATAACTGTCTAGTCTGTCTACTAAGACAGTGTAGGAGACTGTCCTGTCTACCAGGACAGTGGTAA